ATTTTTCGAATTAAGTATTGTTTTCGTGACTACCAGTAAATCAGTAATATGAGATGTATTCACCCAAATTTAGTGGAAACGTCAGCTCAACTTATATCATTGTGGGAAAATTCTTCTTCTACCAGTCCTTCAGTACCTTAAACGCAATTGGGTGAATACATGTCATATTACTGATTTACTGGTAGTCACGAAAACAATACTTAATTTGAAAAATAAAATACTTCTATTTCAGGGCTTAATTTGCCAAAAAGACGCACCCTTTATAAATGAAGTACCGTATTGAGTACAAGAGAAATAAATCTTAAATAAAATACTTTTGCTATTGGGCTTCTCTGGGGCCGCTTGGCAATGGCCTATTATATATTCCTATATGGGCTGGATCGTCTTCATGCGTCAGAGTGTGGGCGCATGCTGGTCTATGCAAGACTGGTATTAGGCCGACATGTCCAAGCGAACGGAGGTGGACAAGATGTCGTGAGGGTGTGACGGAGCTGGCCGATGGAGCCCTAAAGTGCCTCGGCTGCCTAATTGCCTAATGACCGACCACCGACCCAGCCTTCTCCACTCCACATGACTTCGCCACGATAATGACAGGCCCTCATTGTTGGCCCCAGGTGGTGGGAAAACTGGTGGCGGTTGTGCTGAGGATAGAGGCAATCCCGTTTTGTGAGCATCTGCTTGCGAGTTTATGGGTGGGCCGGACACCGGCTGGGCGACGGACAGACGAACGGACAAGGTCAGGAAGCCAGCCGCGAGAAGGGTTTCCCTTTTATCCCACCTGCCCAGTGGACAAGGGCAATGCTCTTGGCCGCAGTCGCCTCATTCGCTGCCCTCAAATGTAGGCCATACTTCAGAGCCTAAGTCACCCCACCGCTGCTGGACACATTCAATTCACTTTCGTCGGGGTGCATTTCTTAATCACCCTAGGCACACGAACACTAACAAGTGAGGGTGCATGTATGCATATGCATGCATATTCTTCAAAGGCATTTGCACCAAATGCTTCTGCCAGAAGGAAAATGAGGAGGAGAAGGAGGGCAGAGTCCGGCTGTTTGTAGACCTCTTTTCAAGTCGAGGGCGAGCTGTACTTCGTGTGAGAAGAGGAAGTGTCAAAATGCATGAAGTCACTACAGTGCAAAAACATGTGATGTCCAGAACAGAGGGTGCATGGCCTCTGGAGGCATTGATACAGATTGCCCAGTTGGGTGCGAAACAAGAACTTGGCATTCTTTAGCGTTTGGAAAGTGTAACCCTACCGGATAATCAGGGCTAGAGTGAGGCAAAATGAGGGCATCTCGAGGAGAGTTAGGCAGAAAGTAGTGTGGAACACTTCAACAACTTGATACGAATGAAATGTGATTCGACTTTTAGCTTCGAAGGAGGAGTTGTTTGGAAGGGGTTCGTAAATCGACCTTACCGGCAACTTAAGGATGAGAAACTGTTGGATTGTGCGAGCAGGATCCATCGATGCTGAGCCGCCTGCAAAAAGGAGGCGACGCAACTAGTCACTTTTAACTCACTCTTTCTCTCTCGCATTGAGACCAAAAACGAAAAAAGGCTTAACAACAAAAACAGACGAGTGTCCGACCTTGCGCAATTGGATTGATGGTTATAACTTAAAGGTAGAAAGGAGGAAATTGGGGTCATCAAACCATGATGACCAAAAACAGAAGTTCCTTTTTGCTGTCCTAATTACTTTGAGCCATCACTGCGGGCTTCGTGCATAAGCGAACAAATATAGAGACAGACACACTCACATGCATCGAAGTTGACATATGACCTTAACTAACCAAATCACTTTATACTTGATCTAAGAAGCCAGATGAAGAGTATATATACCACT